GGCTCTTGTGAACAGTGCCACAATAAACAAGGGTATGCAATTATCTGTTCTGTATGCTGACTCAGAACCCTTTGGGTCTACACCCAGGAGTGGTAGAGCTGGAAGTTCTATTTTCAGTTTTCTGAGGACCCTCCATACTGATTTCCATAGTGGCTGCAAGAACTTACATTCCCAGCAACAGCAGAGAATACTGCCCACTGCCCCATCCCCTCACCCACATCTGTTGATTTTTGTTTTGTTCACAATTGTGTGCCCTTTGCCTTGGGACTTTACTCCTCCCAGGCAGAAGCCCAGGTCGCACAGGTGACCAGGCCTCTCAACTTGCTTTGATCCATCGATTGTTGCCTAGGCCTCAGAAGACCCTTGCCACATCTATTCTGCCATCTTGGGAGGCTGCCTGACAAGAGTGTTTGGGCAGGGAGCTCAGGTGAGCAACAAAATGGAAAGAAGCCAAACAGTTCCAGCTCTCCCATGTAAATCCCTGCCTCCTCCCTCCCCAAGTGGATGTCGCTGCATAGGTGAGCACAGGTGACGTAAGCAAAAACACACCCAACCAGCCACCAAATCAAGGGAAATGAGAAATTACAGTTGCTCTAAATGTACAGGTGTCTCTTACTTGGAAACCCCTATGTGAGAAATTAGTCCAGCCTACAGCAGGGGACATACTAAAAGGAATCCACAGTCCCCAGCTGACGGCAAGTGCCGACTGTGAGACCTGAGGAGGGTCGCCTTGTACTTCCCAGCCTTCAACAGGACACGGAGGCAGGACTAACACTCAGGCAAAAGCAGCATAAACTACCCAGTCGGCCCACGGAATCCTGACGATGGCTTGAGCTCAGCAGATTGAGGCCAGCCTGGGTGCCATGAGATTCCCACCCCCAACAAAAAAAAAAAATAAAGACAAAATACTGATGACTTTTCCCTTCCTGTTTGATGGGAGGTTAACTGGACCATGAGGTGACCTTAAAGAAAGATAAAAGTCAAATCCTAAGGCAGGCTGGCAGAGAAGCTAAGAATTCCTTCCTTCCTTTCCTGTTTTCCTCCCTCCCTCCCTCCCTTCCTCCCTTCCTCCCTTCCGTGGTACTGGGGTTTGAACTCAGGACTTCACGCTTGCTAGGCAGGTTCTCTATCACTTGCGCCAGAACCCCAGTCCTGGTTCCCAGATTCTTGCTACTCTGCCAAGAGTCCTAGACAGTTACCTCAGGGCTTCTTTAACCTGAGGAAAATAAGACACTATTCTATTTAAACCTGTGTTTTGTATGATGTGGACTACTCCTAATTTACAAATGAAAACTTTTTGGCGGTACTAGGGTTTGAATTCAGGGCTTCACGCTTGCTAGGCAGGCGCTCTACCACTTGAGCCACTCCACCAGCCTGCTTTTGTGTTGGGTATTTTTGAGATAGGGTCTTGAGAACTATTTGCCTGGACTGGTGAAACTACACATATTTGTAAACAAGAATTAAAGACCACTTTTGATTTCTAGGTGACTTACTCAATGATAAACTTTTGAATGGCCTGAAACTATCACTTCAGATCTAAAGATAACATTCAATATCGTGATAAAAGTTACTTAGCTTCTACTGTAATCTAGAATGTCCCCAAAGGTTTCTTCCCAGAGATGGCACTGTTGGGAGGTTATGGAGCCTTCAGGAGGCGGGGCCCAGAAGGTCACTGAGAATGGGCCCTCAAAGGGGACTTGAGATTATGGCCTCTTCTATTGTTCCTTGGTTCATGATTTGAGCATGCTCACCACAGGCCCAAAGCAATGGGGCCAACTGATCTTGGTCTGGAACCTCCAAAACTATTTCCTTTATAAGTTAATTATCTGCCAAGTGTATTGGCACAAGCCTGTAACTCTATCAGTCAGGAGGCTGAGGCAGGAGAATCATGAGTTCAAGGCCAGCCTGGGCTACATTGTGAGACTGTCTCCAAAATGAAAAACAAAACAGACCAGGTATGGTGTCTCACAATTGTAATCTCAGCTACCCAGGAGGCAGAGGTAGGAACAGGATTGTGGTTTGAGGCCAGCTGAGGCAAAAAGTTTGTAACACCCCATCTCAACCAACAGCTGAGCATAGTGTCCCCAGTCTATCATCCCAGCTACACAGGAAGCAGTCTCAACATCTAGCTAATTCTAAGGGCAGAACAAAGGAACAGGCCACGATGGTTGTTAAAATCTCAAGCCACCTTATACAGGAGAGTAAGCTCCACCACTCCTGAATCAGAGCGCATTGATGACTGCAAATACTCTTAACCACTATCACCATGCCCTGAAATGTCAGTGTAGGAAATAAATAAAACCCAACGTGGGCCAGGATTGTGGGGAACACTCCATCCAGTCATTGAGGGCCTCAAGCTCCTCCCATCACACAGCTCAAGTTCCTTCTGGATCCTTCCTGCATCTTAAGCAGAACCAGCAAGAGAAAGGCAGCACTGGGGAGAGTAGATGATCTTGCAGGGGCTCAGAAACGGAACAAACCAGTTCCTCACCCAGCTCAAGGACCAGACTGGGGACATATGGCCCCACATGGTGGAAGGGACTCAGGGAAATACACAAGGGAAAAGAAAGAGACCAAGACATATTGTGGCTTAGAGCAGTACTTCTTCTCAATTCCTTGGGGCCAGATTCTGGAAGATATTCTGCCATGGGGTGTCACGGGGTTGCAGACAGTTGCTGACAACTATCCGCAGGAAGTCTTGGCTGGGGCGGACAGCTTCCAGTGGGGCTTTTCACTTGGCTGACACTTGGGCTGCTGTGGGTAAGCCTCAGCTCTTCTCAGCACTGGTCTTTCCAGTTGACTGTCTGAGTGTCCTCAGCCATAGTAGCTGGCTCCCCCAAAGTGACTTAGCCAGTTTGGCATGCTATATAACAGAATGCCACAGACTGTGTCGTTTATAAACAATAGTCTCTTATCCCTTACAGTTCGGAAAAGGCTGTAGCAGATTCAGCATCTGGTGAGGGCCCACGTTCTGGTTAACAGACAGCTGTGCTCTCACATGGCAGAATGGACAAGGGAACCCCCCCAAGTTGATTTTTAGGTTTGTGTGTGGCTGTTGTTTTTCTGTTCTGTGTTTTCTGCTAACTCACTTGTTACAATTAACACATATAACTCATTCTAGGCAAGCATTCTACCACTTGAGCCACATCCCCCCAACTCTACACAAAATACTTTAAACATAAACAAAGAAGACAAATTAGGGGAAAAATGATTTGTTATACATAAAGGGCCAATTTCCCTAATCCTTTCAAAAGATAATTCAGAAACTAGGAATGAGGAAAAAAATTAAGTTTTTTTTTTTTTTCATTTTTCTTTTATTATTCATATGTGCATACAAGGCTTGGTTTATTTCTCCCCCCTGCCCCCACCCCCTCCCTTACCACCCACTCCACCCCCTCCCGCTCCCCCCCTCAATACCCAGCAAAAAATAAGTTTTCAATGAAATGTGTTAAACCCCACTAGAACAACTTTTTAGAGACTAACAGTTTGAGTCTAACCATGTAAGTCAAAGAGAACAGGAGACAAAAGCAGACAGATACCAAGTAGGTTTTGGAAGCTGTGAAGTGCCCACAAGAAGGAAAGTCAGAGCAAAGGTGTTTGCTATAGAACTTTAGAAGTTTTTGCTTTAGTCTTCCTAAGAACTCAGACCCGAGGCTCCCACCCTCACATAGTCAGATTCACAAACAACTTAAATATTTTTGTTAATGTGCAATACACGTTTAAAACATCAGTTTTCAACTAGGATGCAAATTCTAAGTAAAATGTTTTCAAGTCTTTAAAATATTCAGGTAGTTTACTTTTTCAATTTTTAAAAAGTCTTTTGGGACAAGGTCTCATTTAGCCCAGGCTAGCCTCAAGTTTGTGATCTTCCTTCCTCAGCCTCTCTAGTGCTAGGATTACATGCGTGTACTACCACACTGAGCCAGATAAAGTTTAAACAGCAAGGCACCAATATCTGCCTTCATGTAGTCATCAAAGACTTTGTGAAAACCTACTTTTACCTTTTCCAAATTATCCCAAGAGCACAGACAAGGCTGTGATCTGGACATGAAGTGTTTCTAGACCCAAAACGGTCACTTTCTAGGCCAATCACACCAATACTCCTATGTTCTTTGAAAATAAGAACATTTAGGTTAGCAAATCTACTTCTCAATGGTTTAGCCTGAAAGGATTTTTTTTTTTTTTTTAAAGAAAGGCAGACTGCCACGTGCAGCACCTCATTTGGATGTGTCTGGAGTCTTGGAAGCTTGACTACCCTATGTTCTCCTATAAATACACCTTGAGAGCCTGTTTGGAGGTTCTAGCAGGGGAGCGCAGCTACTCATATACCCTTAACCAAAGAACGGTCTACCTCTATCAGGGATGGTTGTCCTCTTCCACCAAGCGCGCATCTTTGGGAGGGATGCACGCAGAGTGGTGAGGGAGGAAGGCGACACCTGCCTAGAAAGCCAGACACCAGCTGAATCAACCCTGGCAATCAATAGGGTGACAGATGTCACAGCCAGATTACCCTCACATCCCTGAAAGGATATTTAAAACTAAATTTGTGGGGCACCAGTGGTTCACACCTATAATCCTAGCTACTCAGGAGGCAGAGATCAGAAGGATCATGGTTCGAAGCCAGCCTGGACAAATAATTCTCAAGACCCTATCTTGAAAATAACCACTGTAAAACATGGTTGGCAGAGTGGCTCAAATGGTAGAGTGCCTGCTTAGAGAGTGTGAGGCCCTAAGTTCAAACCCCAGTACCACCACCCAAAATCAAAAAACTAAATTGACTCTTGGAATTTATCAAAAACCAATCACACCATTCTAACACTGCAATGTTCAAATGCCAGGTCTCATTGGGAAGAAAATGCAAGAACTTGGGCTGAGGTATAGCTCACTTAGCATGTGTGAGGTCCCAGATTCAATCCCTAGCAACATACACACAGTGTAAGAGACCTGAGAAATTATATAACCATCCTCATTCTAGCAAATCTATTTCTTAAAGTAATAAATTAATTCAGACTGCAAAACCATGCAACATTGTCTTTTATTAGGCATAGCTTTCCAAAATTATTCCTTCAACCTCTGCATACACAGGCAAACATAAACTGTACTGATAATGTTACCTAGAGAAGGGGAGATTATCCCACATGTCTAGCCAGGAGGCCAGTTCATCTGGCGACCGCCAAGAACGTGCAGGTGTATGTGGTAGACAGACTGCCCCCCATCTGCACCCTCATTCACCACCATCCGGTAGCCTCTCTTCAGGCCCAGGTCGGCAGCACACTTCTTGCCGACAATCATTAAATGTCCAAGAAGCTGGAAAAGAAAAAATGTTTCTTAAGCACAGGAAATATACATCTGGCCATTAAACAGCACACAGCTGAGGTGAAATATCAAATTAAGCCAGGCATGGTGGTTAATGCCTATAATTCCAGCATCTGGAAAGCTGAGGCAGGGCTATCATGAGGTCCAGGTCAGTTTGGGCTACATACATAGAGAGAACCTGTCTCAAAAAGAACAAATAATAAAAAAATCTATCAAGAAACTATCAACTTCCAACAGACCCCTGTGGGTGAGTATTAAGAAACTTTCTTAATTCCAATACAGCATAATTTACAATGAAAACACCTTTACATTAGTCATTACTAATTTCAATAAACAAATCAGGTGTAAAACCTGCTGCTGCATTAAAATTGTAAAAATTATATTCCATGTATTAGGTACATTGTCTTGATAAAGAAGGCATCTTGCTTTTTTAGTTTGGGGGAGCACATCAATGAGAGTATGTCTGGTTATGCTGTGGTAAAACAGAGAAGACACATTTCCTGGCTGTGTCCGTCACGAGCTGACAGGCTCCACATTCCACATCGTCTTCACTTCGACACCCAGGCTGATGAAGCAGTCACAGTGGCAGAGGGAAAAGGGAACAAGATGCTGGCTCTAAAGATTTCTACTCAAAAGACATAAGATGTGTATAATTTCTGCTTGCACTCATGGGCCAAATGCAGTCATGTGACCAGGCCTGACTTCAGTGAGACAGGAAGTATAATCACTCCTGTAGAACAGTATTTATGAAGGACCAATCATACAATCTCCTGTAAAGAGCATTAGATCAGCAAAAGAATGGAAGTCTCACTGTATCCTTTCTCTTTGATGCAAGGCTTACTTGAGTTGAGACAGAAGCAACTCACCTACCAACCAAGGCACAAAATCGCCTCTTTGTCACTGCACCCAAATAGCAAGTCACAGGGGAAAAAAAAGTTTTTGTCATCCAATATTTTGACAACCAAAGACATCTACACAGTCCCAAGAAGGCATGCCTACTAGAAGCCCACACTGAAAAAAGGGCCTTCCACTCTATTATTTGAAATGGAGGCTTAAAATGGTGAAAAAAATTGTAATGTAAAAGTACTAAATTATATATAGCAGGAACTGTAACTGGTCACAAATTTAATTGTTAGAAGAGCTTTAAAACTGATTCAGTAAAGGTTTCCTGGACTGTGTCTTCTGTGTAGAAGAGCTGACCTTAAAACTCTAATTTGGAAAATGAACTGAATAAAAATTAACATTCAATCTATCCTTAAAGCAAGAGCTGCATCTGAGTAAGAAGTGCCAACCTTAAAATCCCACAGTGGTACAATTACACCAAACACACGCCAAACATTCCAGATCAGTGCCTGGAGTTTTGATCTTTGTTACTGCAGATAAGAGGGTAGTCTACCATAAAGTACTCACTCTGGCTTTGACTGCTATAATTTGCACAAATGTACTGAGTTAAAAATCAATGCCCTGAAATCTCTAAATTTCAGAAATAATCTCACTTTAAAAAGATACCTCCGAGTAAATAATTAAAATACTGGGCGAGAGGCATGGCTCAAGTGGTCCAGTGCCTGCCTAGCAAGTCCAAAGCCCCAAGTTCAAACCCTAGGACCACCATCAAGGAAAAAAAAAAAAGTCCTTTTTAAAGTTCAACTTAAATCTCACGGATCTGAGGAAATTTCCTCAGCTCACTTACCTATTTTAATAAAGTAGATTTTAGTACCAATAAATTAACTAATAATAAAAATTAAGACTACCACAAAATACAGTTTAAGGAAACAAATGTTTAGAATATTCATCAGCCTTCTAAATGTTTCTTAAATCTGAGATTTGCTTCTATATAAGATTTGGAGCCCAGACAAGGACTGGGTGTGGCTCAAATCATAGAGTGCATGCTTTGCAAGCTAAGGACCTGAGTTCAAACCCCTGTACCACCAAAATAAAAAAAACAAAAGAGAAAGGGAAAAAAGGGAAGGAGGGAGAGAAAGAGAGATGTGGGACCCTTTCCAGCTTTAAAATAGTTTTCTGGCTTAGAAAACAATAAAAATAGTTGTATCTATGTAATTCCTCTCATGTGTACACGTCAGCAACCCGCAGCTGGATTTCAAGAAAGGTATTTCCTTAAAGTTCTACAACAATAACATAACATTACATGCTAGTGTGAAATGCTGTGGGCCAGTGTCGAGGGTTCTTGCCTTCACAGGCCAGAGAACTGGCTCGTAAGGCAGCTGATTAACTTGTGAGACAAGGCCAGTACAAAAAGTAGGATTATTAGAGAGAAAGGAAAGGTTACAGCTGGAGCAGTGCAGCGGAGCCCAGAAACCGGTGGCTCCCTCTCAGGTGAAGGCTGGGGCTTTTTATGGACACTTTAACTCTAGGTTAGGGTTAAGGGTTAGGTGGTTTCTTATCATTGGCCGTGGATTCACTCGGGCTGTCTTAGATGACCTGGTCTGTTTGCCCCTTACTGGGGAGTAGGGAGGGGGAACAACTTTCTGTTTATCAGCCCCATGGCAGATTTATGAGACCCTGTATCTTCTCCTCAGTGTGTAGGAATGCAGATTTATGAGCTCTTTAGGGTGCAAGGCTCATAGTGCTCTCCATGGGGAATGGAATACTGACTCACTCATCTGTCCTTAGGTCCCCAAACCCAACAATAATGTCCTTTAACTAATGAAGATTTAAACAGAAACTAAGGCACAAGCAAGGTTTCCTCTGGAAAATACAGTCACTCTACATCAAGTCTGAAAAATGGTGCTCTAGGCAAACACCAAAAATCCCTCCAGAAAAGAGCACCGTATCTGTAGAGGTAAGCAGTGAAAACTAACATAAAAGTGTGGGATAAAAATCTTTCAACGAGATGTAACTGTCTTCTTAAACAGTTTACACGAAATAGTTTCTATTCTTAACCACTCAGGGTTCAAGAATAAAAATTACAAATTAATAGCAGTATTTTTTAGTCCTGGCCAATAGGATCTTTATCTGACCAGTATTATGTGCTTGCAGGAATGGTGCATTTTTCAAGTTATAGCTTAGCTTCACAGGCTTCCTAACTCCTTCTACAGAGCTAAGTAATTGATTCTGACTACCCCTTTCAGTTTCTAGGCTACTGCCTCTAATCCAAAAGTGGCAAACAAGTAGAAAGTAAATATTGTAGGCTTTTTGTGTGGATGACCTAGCCTCTATCAAAACCTCTCAACTCTTTTTTTTTTTTTTGGGTGGGGGGAGCGGGGTGGGACTTGGATTTGAACTCACGGCTTCATGTTTTCAAAGCAGGTGCTCTAATGCTTTCGCCACATCTGTTTTGCTATGGTTATTTTGGAGATAGGGTTTCGCCAACTATTTCCCCAGGATGGCCTTGAACTGCAATTCTCCTGAATCTCAGCCTCCCAAATAGCTAGGATTACAGCCATGAGGCACAAGCACCTGGCTCAACTGTCTTTGTAATGCAAAAGCAGCCTTAGACAATAACTAAACAAATGAGTGATTGTACCCAGGCACTGGTGGCTCATTCCTGTAATCCTAGCTACTCAAGAGGCAGAGCAGAGATCAGGAGTATCGTGATTCAAAGCCAGTCCGGGAAAATAGTTCAAGACACCCTATCTTGAAAAAATGCTGCTGGAGTGACTCTAGGTGTAGGCCTTAAGTTCAAACCCCACACCCCAAAAAAAAAAAAAAAAAAAAAAAAAGGCAACCAGCCAGATGCCAGATTTTGACCCATAGGCCAGACTACCAGTCCCTGATGTAATTTATGGGTCTAGTGACCAAACTTTTACACCTATATCCACTTTATCAAAATGAAGCTATATATTACTTTAGAGTATCCTAATGGTTATTCTATTTTTCCTTAGTAATGTCCTTGGAAGATAAAAATGTGGTATCACTTTAAGAACAAAAGTTAATCTCCCAATTTAAAAAGCAATAAAAATAAACGTTAAAAATTGACTTACACTTTCATCGTCATCTTCTGCTACAGAAATCTGGGAGATATGCTTCTTAGGGATCACCAGAAAATGCGTTGGTGCTTGAGGGGAAATGTCATGGAAAGCAAGGCACTAGGGAAAAGAAAAAGAGTTTCAGTAGATCACCTGGTAGGCTAAAGCTTATTCCTTCACCACTAACCACAGGGCAGCTAGATGCCAAGAAAGCAAGTGTGCCCAATACACACGGCTCCTCAGCCAAGGTCCTCTGCATGGGACTTAAGAGTCTTATGGCAACACTGATCTTAAACAAAGGTGGAGTTACTAAAGGTCATACACATTTCAAAAGAAAAAAGTGAAATGAGTGATTACTACAGAAAACTGGATTCCAATTGAGAGGTCAAGGACAACCCTTCTGAGCCAGTGACAGTGATCCAATGAATGAGCAGAAAGGAGCCATGTCTACCTCACCAGGCTGATCTGCAACTCTTCAGGCTCATGTCACACTGTCCTTCATAGCTCTACCCTCAGAGCTTTTTCAACTGCTGTCCCCTCTCTGCAATGATGGCCCCCCACTCGACTTTTGTCTAACTTAAAATGCTATTCATTACAAAACTTGAAATGCTACGAATTCCTCCAACCTTGGCATATATACATATATATATATACATATATACACACACATATATATATATATATATATATAAAATTTCTAAAGGAAATCTGATTCTCTTCCCCCTTCCTCATCCATAAATTACATCTGATTTTGCAATTTTTTTTCTTTACATGAAATGATCAGTTTTTCAATCACATTTGTTTTATAGTTGGTTAATACCTATTCTTCCCCTTGTACTCAAAGATTTAAGAAATATACCTATTCCCTTTTGTAGAACTAAACAGTATAAGCAATTTAGACAAATTATATAGCACACTAGAAGGAATCTGTAAATATACATACATACACGGATTTGTAAAAATAAGTGTTTTTATATCTCTTGCTCGCTACTGAAGGTGGATAGAACCTATCCACATTTATCTGCCTGAGGAGTAATCTCATTTGATACTCCCTACAAAATGCTGTATCATTTACTCCATGCTGTTATACTGGAGTTCAAAGATCTTTATTTCAATAATCATTTATTAAAAAGCAACTGGAAACTTATAAAAAGAAACAGGCTTAAAACAAAACAACTTTCCCCTAACTAGTGCCACATAAATATTTAAATCTCACCTCCAGGAACCTAATTAAATATTAGAAATGATGCTTCAAATCTCAGTAAAACTACGAATTGCATTCCATGAATGGTCTTCTTATATTCCCTATTTCTTAAAAATCATTCAACAGAATACTCACAACACCTTTTCAAATGACCCAACCTCTTACTCAGATTTACCGTCGCTAAACAATTCACACAAGATGTCTCAAAAGTCTAAGCCCCTGGGATTTCACCTATACTGGACAAAAACCACCCTGGCGTGAAATCGTCTAATATCGAACACAAAAGGAATCGTAGGAGTGTAACGTATTTCTAAGCGCAACGTTTGCAGCGGGAGGAGTCAGGGACGTGCGCCCACTTCTCGTCGCAGGAGTGCAGAGCTCCCCCCGTGTTTCCCCTCCACCCCCGCTGCATCCCATGTCCTCTAGAGCCCCGTGTCCCTGCAGCGCCCTCCGGGTCCCTGGCGCTCCTTGTGCCTCCGCGCCCCTGGTGTTGTCTCCCGGGACCCGCCCCGCTGCCGCTACGCGCGGGAGATGGCGGAGATTGGGCCCGAGACGCGGCGCGATCGGGTTTCTCCGTACGGCAGAGCGCGGGCGAGATTGCGAGAATCCTGAGCCCGAGGGGCCCGGCGCGGACGCGGACCGGCGGGCGTCCCGGGAGCGGGCGTCCCGCACCCGCCCAGGCCCCGCGGAGCGGCCCGCGCAAAGCAGGCGGCCTGGCCGCGCCCGCGCTGATAACGCGTAACCGGAGCGTCGGCACGCGCCGGGAGGCCGCGGCCACGCGGCCAGGGCGCCAGGCCCCGTTGCCTCCCGACCCTTCCCCGCCTTCCCTTTGAGGGAGGCTGGCGTGTGCTGCGGCCACAGCCCACAAGCGCGACGCGTGCTGCGCCTACCCGGTCATCCTCGAAAATGATTTTGGCAGGGATTTCCTTGCGGATGATCTTCCCGAAGATTGTATCACCGCCAGGCTGGGCGACCTGAGCCTTGGCGATCTCGTCAGCCATCTCGGCCTCCCTCCTGCAACGTGGCCAGGGGAGAGTCGAATGCTGGAGAACCCGGGGAGCGCGCGGCCGCCGCCAAGCCTGCGCAGGGACCGCAGCCCGCGCCCGTGACTGCGCATGCGCACCCCTGCGCTGCGACCGCCGGAGCGGGCGGGAGCCACGTGGGAGGTGCCGGAGCATCGCTGCAAAAAGGATGCCTCGGGGTCGTCTTCCTGTCTTCTTATCCCGGGTCTGGCGCTATTGGTATAAGCCCTTCATCTCCTATGGACCCTATGGAGAAGATTAAATACCGTGACTAAGAATTGATCATTCAGGTGGCGCTGGCCCGGTTTGCTGGCTGAGACACCCTAAGGCCCCACTGCCCAGATCTTAAGGGCTTGGCTAGCAGTCCAGTCCGTAGTGCGTCAGGTTTTTTTCTCTCTGCAGCAGTGGTTCTCAATCATGACTGAGTGCTAATCATCACTTGGAGAGCTTTTCCAAATCTCTGTGAACCCGGTGACACTCCAGGTCAATTAAATTCGAAATCGTGGCTGATGAGACATCAGCAGTTTGTAACTTTTTAAAGATGTTTATAAGGACTTTCCCAGCTGCCACCAACACAATATAAAATGCTCCATCTTAAAGTACCAAGCTTTCCTTAATCCCACATCGCATCATATCTTTGCTGCTTTAAAAAAGCATTTTCTAGCTGGCCCTGTGTAATCTAGCTACTCAGGAGGCAGATACCAGGAGGATCACGGTTCAAAGCCAACCCTGGCAAATAGTTCGCGAGACCCTATCTCGAAAAAAATCCATCACAAACAAAAAAAAGGTTGGTGGAGTGGCTCAAGTGTAGTCCCTGAGTTCAAACCCATCTACCATAAATAAACAAGCGTTTTCTCGACAGACACCTGAGCCTCACGCTTGTAATCTTAGCTATTTGGGAGTTCCTGGCACCATTTCCCTAGCTAATTATCTCCCGAGTAGCCATTTTAAGCCTTAACTAAACCTCCTGAACTACTCTGTATGATTATATTTGACCACCTGATCTTGGCAAAATTATCAATAGTGGTTCACTTTAATCTCAAAAGTGTTGCCTTTGGTACTTTTGCTATCAAAGACATTACTGATAAGACTGGTGAAATCTAACATCTATAAATGAAACAATACTTTTGAAATCATGTTAATTTCCTTTCACAATTATATTAAAGTTATCAAAATTAGTTGGCCTGGAATGGGGCCCTCTGAGTTGGGCTTCTAACATGTTTCCAAGTGATAAAGTTGCCCCTGGGCCTGGAACCATGCATTGAGGATGGATGTGATTGTAGGGGAAAAAAAACCCACTGGCATACTTAGAGGTGTAGGGGTATCATGTCTGCAACTTACTCTATAACATTTCAGGGGAGGGGTTACTCATATATAGGTAAGGAGATAGAAAAATTATAATTAAAATGTTAACATTTGGGGACTCTGAGTGAAAGTTACATACAAGGCCAGGAGTTTGAGTTTTATGTGGCTGCTTTTGTTCTGGTTCTGGAGGTCGTAGACCTCACGCTTGCTAAGCACTCAGCCTCTTGAACCACACACCCCAGTCCTTTTTGTTTTAGTTTATTTTTTAGATAGCATCTCAAGTTTTTGCCCAGGACTGGCCTCAGACTTCAATCCTCCCATTTCCACCTCGCATCCAGCGCTTTAGCCCAGAAGTTTGAGGCTAGCCTGGGCAATATAGTGAGACCCTGTCTCAAAAATCAATCAATAAATAAAGGACTATTTTGGATAATTAATAATACATTCAACTTTCTTTCAGTCCAAATGTAACAGGTAGGAGGACCAGAAAAGAAGCAGGCAAGCCTGTGTGCAGGGGGACGGGACACATAGCAGAGAGAGAAAACTTAAAGAATCTAAATGTGAAGAAGGTCATGTAACACCCACGCACAGGAAATCAATGTGAGTCAATGCCCTGTATAGCTATCCTTATCTCAACCAGCAAAACCCCTTGTTCCTTCCTATTATTGCTTATACTCTCTCTACAACAAAATTAGAGATAAGGACAAAATAGTTTCTGCTGGGTATTGAGGGGGTGGGGGAGAGAGAGAGGGGGTGGAGTGAGTGGTAAGGGAGGGGGTGGGGGCAGGGGGGAGAAATGACCCAAGCCTTGTATGCACATATGAATAAAAAAAAAAAAAAAAGAAGGTCATGTAGCACTGGGGTGAAGTAGCCTATAGAATTGCATGTAACCATATATGGATTAAACCTTGCTTTTTGCTTCTGTAACCTGCTTGCAAGGGTATATAAGGTGAGACCTTCTTTTTTCTCAGGGCTCAGTCTTTGCACTCCAGTCCACTGAGTCTGTGCCAGAACAATAAAACATTGCTTATTGCTAAACTGCCTCCGTGTTCTGTGTCTCTGTTCAAGAATCCCAAAATACAAAGGCTGTCCCATCTAGAGAGTAATGAGTCAAACACTTGTCCCCTGACCAACCTCTCCCCTTAATTCTGGTCTAGTCTAAAATACGCATTTTTGCCTACTCATCAACTCCACTTGGATGTGTAACAGGCACTGAAATTTATTTTACTCCCTCCACCACAACACAAAACCTCCAGCATTATTCTCTACCACACCACCATTCACCCCGTTGCTAGAGCAAAGCCTTGAAATCATTAAATCTTCTCTCTGTACTTTCAACAGGTGTCACAAACCTACTTCTCATCTCCTCTCCCTTCCACTATTGTAATCCAAAACACTATCATCTCTCTCCTGGAGTATTTGGAAGGCTTCCTAGTTGGAGAGCCTCTTTGCTTCCACCGAGCACCCAAACTAATCCATGTAAACTATAAATTATGATGTATGCTGGTAACATTCCAAAGCATTCCTTCACAGAACAAAATCCAAAATCCTTGGCTTATAGGCCCCAAAGTGATCAGGCCCTGCCTGCTTCTGTTTTAACCTTACTGACGGGCTTTACCCACACTGAATGTGGTAGACATTATATGCCCATGTCCTAATTTCTGGAGTCTGTGAACATGTTACCTTACATGGGAAAGGACATTTTTGCATATGTGATTAAATTAAGGATATTGAGGGTGGGAGATTTCTGGATGATCCAAGTGGGCCCGATGGACTCGGGGCCCTTTTAAGTGAATGACACAGGAGAATGAGAGAGAAACCATGGTGATAGAAGGAGGGGTGAGAGTTAGAGACTTGAAGATATTCCACTATTTGCTTTGATGATGGAAGGGGCCATGAACAAGTGACATCTGGAAGTTGTAAGTCAAATTGGGTTCCACTGAGCTAAAATCAAGGTGTCAGCTGCGCTGCATTCTTTCCAAAGACTCCAGTGGAGAACTCATTCCTTACACCTGCAGTCTCTATTTGTCATACAAAGCAATATAATCAGATTCTGGAGATCTGAACACAGACTTTTTTTGGAGGCCATTATTCTGCCTACCATGTAGCTCCATGGATTTATGCAGTGAATATGTTGAAATGTTCTGCTCAGCATTGGGCCCTCTACTTTGAATAGTCTTAGGAAAAGGGCCTCATGCATACTAGGCAAGTGCTCTACCACTTGAACCACTCCACCCTAGGCCCTTCACTTTGAGATGCAGGCAAACCAGGACATGTTACCAGAACAACTAAAATAGTAAAGAACCACCTTTTTTGTTGGAACAGTTGAAGGAAACAGAGATTTACCTAACAGAAAAGAATCCACAGACTGAACTGAATTTGACACCTTAAGAGCTGTACTTTCAAGTATCAGTAGATGAGGAGGTCTTGACTAACTGAACACAGGACCCTAATTAGCTAGAAGTTATCACGACAAATTATAAATTATCAAGAAATTGATATTCTAAAGTGGGATTTTTTTTATGTGTGAGTGATATGGGGGTTTTGAACTCACGGCCTAGTGCTTGCTTAGACACAGATTTTTCTCTTTTTTCTAGAAATGAGATTTTTCTTGATGCTTGCAAGGTGCTAAGTTTAATGCTTTCTAGTTGTTTATGATTATGGTGCTGCTAATAAATTACCCATTTCCCTCTCCAGCACAACCAAGGAGGAGGGCAGGACAGGTGGGCAGGATTTAGAGAGTGAGAGTAGTCTTTGGGATCAGGCACAGCGGATTTGTATCCCAGACTTCATGTAATAGCCATGTTAACTTGAGTGAATAACTCAACCTCACCTTCTGGGAGGAATTAAATCAGAGATTATAAGAACAGAACTCTTATTTGTCACATTTCCAAGAAGACTGTCACAACTGGAAAAAAACTAAAAAAACAGGCACTTTAATGGACGACCCTAAACCCTAAACCCGAGGTAACGAGATGCGAGTTTTGAAGCCACCCCCACCCGTAAATGTCATTCCAGTGTAGGTTGCCAGAATTTCCGGGCCGGAAGTGGCTCTGCCCCTAACAAACATGGCTTCCAGGTGATTTCCATTCTCCCTCCCGTAATTTGGCTCCGCGGCTTCTTGCAGTTTTACAGTTGCCATCCGCTGAGCTAATGGTCCTGTCGAGGAGGCGGGGCTACAAAGTCGATGCTGCATGCTGATTGGTTCAGGCGCGTGAGTAACGCGGCTATAGGGAGTTGGATGCCCACGCCAAGCCTTGATTGGCTGCGGAGAGGCGGGGCGACTCCGCCGGTTGAGAGGTTGCGGTCTCGGCGTGGGGAGCCATGGGTCAGACAGTGAAGGTGACAGGGCCGGGGGAGAGGGTGGGAAAGATTCGGGGCTCTCTTTAGTTGGGGTGCTAAGGCCGTGCTCGCGGGGTGATGAGAAGCTCTAAAGGGGCGTACAGGGTCTGCAGGTGCGGAGGGGGAGGAGGTCACGTGTGGTTGGGGTCTCGGTGCTAGCGGGGTACCGAGTGTTTACCTGTGATCAAGGCACCGACTCATTTGGCCGAGTGTTTAATGAGGAACTCATTTCCAGCCCTGGGAAGTAAAGGAGATGTTGAATGCAATCCTGAGCTGCACCAACAAGGAGGTGGGGCCAGAATGACCTTCTGGTCGTTCAGGTGAATGACTAGAAGGTGCATGAAAATGAAGGATCCCTAGCAAAATTCACCTGCAAAAGGAGCACCCGGCGAGACAGTGCTCTGACCCCCGCCTCGGACCTGGGCTTAGATTTTTTTTTTTTTAGTCATGCCCAGTTCTCAGGCATCTGTCGCTCAATTTGATTAAATATCAGCGTCATGGCCTATTGGGACCTGCAGTTGTCACTGGCCCAAACTTAGGCACGGCCAGGAGAGACGGCCTGCCACAATACCACGAGGAGAAGCAGAGCAAAGCTTTTGGCCAGTGAGTAATAGGGAGCCTCCTAGCGGTCCTCGTGCTCTGTTGAGCTCAGCATATCTCAATATGTCACGACGGCCTCATGAGCAAAATTCGACCAAGTTATTCATTAAAAAATATATGGAGTGCCCATAGTAATTATTAATATAGCTGTCGGCTAACAGCCTATACTGTCTAGGCAACCTTTGCCTCCATAAGGAAATGTAGCAGATAGGAAGATTTCAAACAGTTACTGCAACTGCAATAATTTCTCCAAATTGAAAATGTAGTGTATTTCGTGAACATATAATTAGGATTTAACACAAAAAGAAACCACAGTTAGTGGAGAGGCTGAGGAAGGATGGCTTGAGCCTAGTTGTTAGTGACCAGTCCAAGCACCAAAGGGAGACCTTATCTCAAAAAAAAAAAAATAATAATAAGGAAGAAATCACAAGGGAGTATAAGGAGAGTGGGATCTGAAGTTTGATTAGAAGTTAGTTGGGAGGGGTGAGGGATGTAGCTCAGTGGTACAGCACCTGCCTAGCATGCTGAAGGCCCTAGGTTCCATCCCCAGCATCACAAAGAAATTAGCCGGGCACCTGTGGCTCACGCCTGTAATCCTTGCTCAGGAGGCAAAGATCAGGAGGATTACAGTTCGAAGTCAGCCAGAACAAATAGTTTGGGAGATGCTATCTCGAAAAAACCCATCATAAAAAAGGGCTGGTGGTGACTCAAGATGTAGGCCCTGAGTTCATGCCCCAGTACTGCAAAAAATACATTAATTAATTAAAAAAAGAAAATAGGCTGGCTGGGGGAGTGGCTCAAGGGATAGAGTGCTTGCATGTGTAAGGCCCGGAATTCATACCTGAGTACCATCAAAAAAAGTTGATTAGCTCCAAAGTGATACTGGTTTTAGTAAGTTCTATGACAATAATGATGACATTTTCTTATACTAATCATTCTTAATTTAGGGATACTGTTTTTTGTACTAATGGAGTCACATTTATTTTTCTGTCTTTTTTCACTTTTAAATAGTGGATAAAACGATTAGAATTACTTACCTTTCACTTCCTCTCTTTTTTGTTTGAGACTAGAGTCTTGCTACGTTGCCTAAGCTAGTCTTAAACTGGGCTCAAATAATCCTCCTGCCTCAGCCTCCCAAAGCCCAGATCACCATACTTAGCGCTCTCTCTCTCTCTCTCTCTCTCTCTCTCTCTGTACTGAGGATTGGACCCAGAGCCTCAGTGGCCTCACATACTCTACAATGATGACTTTACAATCCATCTTTCTCCTGCCTTGCAAGCGTGAGGCCCTGAGTTCAAACCCCAGTGCTGCCAAAAAAAAAAAAAATCCCATCTTTCTACCAACAGTCTTTACAAGATGACATAAGCTTTACTCTCAAGCACTTTAGAAGTCTTTCTTCCCACACACAAAGCCACTTCCACATTTTTAGGTACTGTGACAGCAGCACTCCATTTCCCAGTAGCTAAATTTCTATTACTCCTCTGTGATTTCCTAACAAAATATCCCTACTCCAGATATCCAAAATCGGAAGTGCTCTCAAATCTAACTCTTTTTGAGCATGAACATGATACTTAAAATGTTTCAGATTTTGGAGCATTTTGGATTTCAGATTTTCAAGTTAGGGATGCTCAGCTCATAAAGTCTATACAAATATTCCAAAATTAAAAACAATCTGAAATGTTTCTGGTTCCAAGCATTTTGGCTAAGGGATTCTCAACCTGCCATAAATTGGTGGCTTCAGACAACAGAATTTTTTGTCTCACTGTTCTGTAGGCTACAAGTCCAAAATCAAGATGTCAGCAGCATGCTGCCTCTGAAACTCTGGGTAGTCTCTCCTTGCTTCTTCCCAACTTCTGGTGGAGGCTGTCAATCCTTTGTGTTTCTTTCTGTTGTATCACCCAGTCTCTACCTTTGACTTCATATGGCCATCTTTCTCCTCTGTGTTTCTGTCTTCACATGATATTTCCTCTTTTTTCTCCCCAACCCCTGGTGCTGGAGGGAGATGGAATTCCTGACCTCACGCATGCTAGGCAAATGTTCTACCACTGCACTACACCCCGGTCCTATTTTCCTCTTCTTAGAAGGGTATCAGTCATATGGGATACATACTGCAAAAATTTTATTTCCAAATAGAGTCATAGTCACAGGTACCTGAGATTGGGATTTCAGCATGTCATTTGGGGAGACACAATTTCAGGCATAACAGTATGGTTATTCTGCATTTTATTTACCATGTATGAGTTAATGGACATTTGAGTTATTCCCACTTTGGTGCTAATGTGAGTAATGGTGCTGTGAACTGTAGCATGCAAGTTTTTGAACATACATGTTTTCATTTGTCTCAGGTATATACCTACTTGTAGGGTTACTACGTTATAACATAACTATGTTTAGCTTTTTGAGCAACTGCCAGACTTTTCCAAAAACAGAAGCTTATGATTGTCAAGTTGTAAGAGTTCTTTAGATATTTTGGACCCTTATCAGTTATATGATTTACAAATATTTTCTTTTTTGATAATGTTCTTTCCCATTTTCTGTCTCTCTCTCTTTTCTCTGTCTCTGTCTGTCTGTCTGTCTCTCTCTCTGTGGCTCTGTGGTGCTGTTGATTGAACCCAGGGCCTATGTATCCTAGGCAAGCACAGTACCACTAAACTACACCTGCTTTCTCTTTAAAAAGAATTTTTTTTTTTTTGACAGGGTCTCACCATGTAGCCCAAGTTGACCCCAAACTTGAGAACCTCCTGCTTTAGCCTCCCAAGTGTTAGGATTATAGGTGTGCACCCTCATTCCCAGCTTTGTTTTGTTTGTTTCCTAGAACTTTATATTATTTTTGTAAATAATGCTAAAGTTTTGTTTGTTATTGTTTTTGTTGCTAGGGCCTCACCCATGCTAGGCATGTGTTTCACCACTGAGCTATACCCCCAGGCCCTCAATTTTTTTTTTAACTTAAAGATAAATAATAAAGGGAAAGTCATTTTGGTAAACCCTGGTTTTCACTAGCTATCTGAAAAATAGTTTAAGAAATAAGTAGGAAAAGAATGCTGTTTACCCTTGTAATACAATTATGTAAAATGTTAAATCTTTCCTTAAGAGGTCTGACCTCTGATTTTCTTAACAGGTTTTACAGCTGTTTAAGACACTGCACAGGACCAGACAACAGGTCTTTAAAAATGATGCAAGAGCATTGGAAGGTAAATATATTTTTCCCCTTTGGAGCAAGTCCGTTCTTTAGATGGCTGCTCATCTGGCTGATAGACACTGCCTGTATGGTGAAGACCCACAGAATGATCACTTTGTTGGCTCTTCCCTGATGTTATATTCTGTAAAGATTTGATTACATTACAGTTTTTTTTTTCTTTTTCTTTTTCTTTTTTTTTTTTGCAGTACTGGGGCTTGAACTCAGGGACTACACCTTGAGGTGCTCCACCAGCCCTTTTTTGTGAAGGGTTTTTCTGAGATAGGGTCTCAAGGAACCGTTTCGCCCAGGCTGGCTTCAAACCATGATCCTCCTGATCTCTGTCTCCTGAGTAGCTAGGATTACAGGTGTGAGCCACTAGCACCAGGCTACATTGCAGTTCTTAGAGGATTATCTACCTAATTTTAAAAAAATTAAAAATCAAGTTTACACGAAGGGACTGGGCATGGTGGTACATGCCTGTAATCTCAGCTACATGAAAGGTGGAGATTGGAGCGTTGAGGATCAAGGGCAGCCCAGGCAAAAAAGGCAGTTGAGATACTATCTCTCAAGAAACAAGCCAGGCATGTTGTAGCACATCTGTAATCCCAGATACTTGGGAGGTGTATGTAGGAGGGTCCCAGTCCAAGACCAGCCCCAGGTAAAAATTGTGAGGCCTTATCTGAAAAATAAAGGGAAAAAAGGGCTGAGGGCCTGGGCAAGGGCAGGGCCCTGAGTTTAAAACACCAATGCTGCTGGGCACTGGTGGCTCATGCCTGTAATCCTAGCTACTCAGGAGACAGAGATCAGGAGGATCACGGTTCAAAGCCAGCACTGGCAAATAGTTCGAGAGACCTTATCTCAAAAAACCCTTCATAAAAATAGGGCTTGTGGAGTGGATCAAGGTGAAGGCCCTAAGATCAAGTCCCAGTACCACAAAAAAAAAAAAAAAAAAAAAAACCACCAATCCTGCCAAAAACCCCAAAAGTTTTTATAAAGGATCAGCAAAAAGCCAGGCACCAGTGGCTCGTGCCTGGAATCCCAGTTATTTGGGACCATCAGGATTGTGGTCTAGGCTGGGCAAATGTAAGACTCCATCTCCAAAATAACCAGAGTAAAAAGGGCTGGAGGAGCAGCTCAAGTGGTAAGAACCCCTGCCTAGCAAGCACAACGCCCCGAGTTCAAACCGAGTACCATCAAAAAAAAGTTGACCGGGTGGGTGCAAGGGATGGAATGAGAATTCTCATGTTCTCCATTACTTGCCTTATGCTCAAGTCATTAACCCATTTCTCTGTTATAGAATCAAATTTTCACTCTCTAGGACCAGATACTACTGTATTGATAATGCCTTGTGTCAGTTTAGAAGTCATGCCAGCCATGAAGGAGAATCTAATCCAAATTTGATTCCAAACTCAGCAGCTCACTCGTGCTTGCTAGGCTAGCGCTGTAGCACTTGAGCCACGCCCCAGCCCAGCAGCTCACTGTTTTAAGTAGTTTCTGACTTGTTGGAAGTCACAGCTCTGGTCCTCAGGTTCAGCGTTAGTCTTACTCAGCCACACTCTTCCTACATTTCTAAACCTTCTCAAGGAGGCTTCTAGGTAATGCATCTCCATGGTCCTCAGGAAACCAAGCTTTCGTAATTCAACAAAAATAATTCCTTAACTTTGATAGTGTCACATTACACAAATACCTAATTTAATTCTCACATCAATTCTATTATTATAATTCCTGTCTTTGCAGATGAGAAAAGTGACACAAAGTGAAAAGATTTGCTCATGTCATACTTATGACAAGATAGACCTGGGATTTCACCTAGGTAGTATGGTTCCCAAGACCAGACTCGTAACAGCCTTACATATTGAGATGTATTGAGCACAGAAAGAAGGTTTAAATGACTGTTTTCTGTCAACATGGTATATTTTGTTACTTTAAATTTTTAAGTGGCCAGACGCCCATGGCTCATGCCTGTAATCCTAGCTATTCAGGCAGAGATCAGGAGGATCGCAGTTCAAAGCCAGCCTAGGCAAATGGTTTTCAAGACCCTATCTTGAAAAACCCTTCACAAAAAAGGGCTGGTGCAGTGCCTCAAGGTGAAGGCCCCGAGTTCAAGCCCCAGTACTGCAAAAAGAATTTTTTTAAGTGAGATAATTATAAGAACATCGAATATTAATTGCTTACTTATTAAGCACTTTATACAGATTGTTCCATTAAATGCCCACAACAACACCATAAGGCCATTTAAGTTATACTTAATTAAAGCTGCCGTAATGATATCAAAGTCTCATTTACTGTACATGTCAGTCAAGACACTCAAAATTATATGTGTGTCTTCTTTATTAATGTATTTGCGTATGTGCATATGTATTTAACACACTTTTATGTATTGATTTTGCTTTTTTTTTTTTTTTTTTTTTGCAGTACTGGAGTTCAAACTCCGAGCCTTCACCTTGAGCCACTCCACCAGCACTTTTTTGTGATGGGTTTTTTTGAGATAGAGTCTCAGAAGCTATTTGCCCAGGGTTGGCAAAACCTCGATCCTCCTTATCTGGCCTCCCAAATAGCTATAATTACAGGTGTGAATGCTTTTTTAACATGGCAAAATCAAGCCAGGAGCCAGTGGCTCATCCCTGTAATCCTAGCTAATCAGGAGGCAGAGATGAGGAGGATTGCAGTTCGAAGCCAACCCTGCGCAAATAGTTTGCAAGACCCTAACTCAAAAAAAACCCGTCACAGAAAAGGACTGGTGGAATGGCTCAAGGTGTAAGCCCTAAATTCAAACCCCAGGAACCACAAAAACTGCATTTTTGCTGGTTATGGTGGTGCACACATGTAATCAATTTCAGTACTCGGGAGGGTGAGGCAGGAGGATCAACAGTTTGAAGGCAGCTTGGGGTATATAGTGAGACCCTGTCTCAAAAAAAAATAAAATAAAAGACATTTTAATGTAAATACTTAGATTTAGAGACAAAAGCGTTAATTTCAGTTTATTAAAATCTAATGGCTAAAGGTATTCAAATAAAGTTAAGAGAAAAAACAAGAAAAAAATGTTAGACTGCTAAACCAGGTGCAGGGGCTCATACCTATAATCCTAGCTATTTAGGAGTATTTCGGCTTAAGACCAGCTCAGGCAAAAAAGTTTGAGAGACCCCATCTCAGCCAATGAAAACTGGGTGTGATGGTGCACGCTTTTCATCCCAGCTACTCAGGAAGTGTAAATAGGAAGATTGTGGTCAAGGCTGGCCCGGGCATAAACACAAGACCCTATTGGAAAATTACTAAAACAAAAAGGGCTAGGGTGAGGCTCAAGTGGTAGAGTGGCTGCCTAGCAAGTGTGAAGTCCTGAGTTCAAACTCCAGTCCTGTCAAAAATACACAATGCTGAGTGTTTGTATTTGTTGTGACATTTTGTAAAAGATTTTTTGGAGGTGGTGATGTTACTGGGCTTTGAAGTCAAGACCTCACACTTGCTAGGCAGGCACTGTAGCACTTGAGCCACACCACAGCCCTGTTTTTCATTCTTATTTTAAACAAGTTTACCAGTCTGTCAAAAGCTCTCCAAAGGATTTCTTTCTAAATTTCTTATGCTTCATTTCACAATGGAGCAAAACCTTTCCTTAGAGAAGTAGAAATTCCTAATGGATAACATGTAGATTATTGGGGCAGGAATTGTAAGTTAGAAAAGCAAATAACCTCAAATGTTTTTTTTTCTCTCTAGCAGCCAGAATAAAGATAAATGAAGAATTCAAAAATAATAAAAGTGAGACTTCTCCTAAGAAAATAGAAGAGGTATAGTAATTGAGTTTTTCAGCTACAATAAAACTCTTATAAAATTTTCTTGGCAAAGAGAAAATGATGAAAATAAAGGGGTTATTTGAAAGAAACCCCACTTGACAGTTATAGCCATGACGACTGTACATAACCTTCACTTGTTTGGTGTGGCTTATCTCACCAGGATCATCTGCCTGTGCCCCAAAGACAGCAGAATGCCCTGTGAAAGGAACATGGAAGTAGCCATGGTCAAAGTGAGAACAGCACAGCCAACATAGAAACCCACAACACTGTCTTCACCTAACGCAAGTGACCGAAGCCAAGGAGAGTGAGTGTTGTAGTGATTCAGAACTACTCCTGAACTCAACTGGGCATTTCACATTTGGAAAACTTCCAGTCTGCAATAGCATGAACAGCCACAGACAGCTTATGAATTCTTCTTACTTTGCCTTCTCTACTTGCATTTTGGTCACTTGCTCTAGCTGAAGACACTCTACACTAGCCTGTAGCTTTTACTCTGTCAATACACATTAATTGAAAAAATGCACAGTGATGCTTTACTATATAGTGTGTATTCTGGCACGTACAAATCATCTCTGTCCTAAACTGTGTCTGACTTTGCATAAGGGGAAAGGACTCTTAGGAAGAGAATGAAAAGTAGAAAATTATTTTCCAGCTTGGGTGCCAGTGACTCACAGCTATAATCCTAGCTACTTGGGAGGCTGAGATCAGATCAGGAAGATTGTGGTTCAAGGCCAGCCCAGGCAAATAGTCCTCTAGACTCCAAAATAACCAGAGCAAAATGGACTGGATGTGTGGTTCAAGTGTAAAACCCTGAGTTCAAACCCCAGTCTTACCAAAGGAAAAAAGAAAGAAAATTATCTTCGGGGGTAGTTATGATACAAATTGGTTTGGTTAAAAGGGAAGGTATAAATAGAGAAATCTTCCACGTTTAATAAAATTTCCCTGAGTGACCAAAAAACATCTGATAAAATGCATTTATATTTAGTAGGAAAAAATACTATTTTTAAATAGTAAATATCCTACAGGTATTTTTTACAATTATTTATTACAGTAACTGATGCAATGTGACAAAATGATATAGCCAAGTTTTTCCATCTTTATCATATAAAGAAAAAAAAGGGAAAGATTTTGCTTAAACATGATAGAACAAACAGGGAATATGTCAATTTTATTCTTGGCAGAAAATAAGATAATAGTAAATGAAATTGAAAAGAAATTAAAAGGCATATAAGAAAGTTTGTATCTGCTATGTAATAGTCTTATTAATAACAATTGAGTCATTATTTTTAAAATTTGAGCAAGGTGGCAGACACACACCTGTAGCCCCAGCTTCTAGGGAGGCTGAAGCCAGAAGATTGCATGAGACCAGGAGTTCAAGAGAAGCCCACACCACATAGTGAGGCCTTATTTCTAAAAGCAACAGTTTTGGGTTTTTTTGTTTGTTTGTTTGTTTTTTGTGGCAGTACCAGGGTTTGAAAGCAGACACTCTACCTACCATTTGAGCCATGCTTCCAGCTCAAAACATTTTTTAATCGAGGTCTGTTTATATTAATTAAACTGGGGAAATGAACTACAGTCTCCCAAATTAATTTTGCTTTAGAGCATTAATTTAACATTGGTCAATCTAGAAATTGGATATTTGTTATATACAAATGTATGTTTTGTACTTTCTGCAACTCTGCAAATATTTAGTAGTTACTAGATTACTAGGTTCTAGTGTAGTAGAGGGTTCATGAACTCTTGATGCCAAATAGGGTCCTCAGCATCTCCTAGACCAACAGTTCTCAAACTCCCTGCATTTCCTTATGTCTTTCCCATCTCAAAAACCAAGGAGCCTAGAAAGCTCTGTTTGTATCAGTATTTACCGTATTAGAAATTTAAACTGTGAATTTAAAAATATATATATTGATTAGTTCATTTAAAAATAGCAACAATCCCCTTATATGTTAAGAAATGGGGTAATGTCGTGCACACCTAAAATCCTAGATACTTGGGAAGCAGAGATTGGGAGGATTGAGGTTTGAGACTAGCTTAGGCAAAAAGTTAGACCCCATTTCAATCAACAAGCTGACCATGGGGGTGCTCGCCTGTAATCTTAGCTACTTGGTAGGTATAGATAGGAGACCCTCCTTCTGAGGTTGGCCCTAGGAAGATCTCAAGATGCTATATGAAAAATAAAAGCAAAAAAGTGTGTGGGTGTGGCTTACGTGGTAGAGCACCTGCCTAGCAAGTGCTGGGGTTCAAACTCCCATACTGTCAAAAGAAAAAAAAAAAGAAACAAAAAACAAAACAAGATCTCTGGAAAGCTGTCTATATCAATATTTACCATATTAAAATTTTAAACTGAGAATGTTTTTAATAGAATTTCTAAAAATGTACTATTTCATTTTAAATAACAATAAGCCCATTACATGTTAAGAAATAGAGTAATGTTTATGAAAAATTACTATTAAAAAATTGGTGAGAAGAGTGGCATTGTTTTACATTTCTGCAAATCTGGAAATGTCTGGCTCAGTAGAAGTCAGCTGAATTCTAATGTCTTTGTTAGTGCGGTATGTTTTAGGTTGAGGTGTATGAAGGAAATTGAGTCTCACAGATAGGGAGTGACAGTAGCCTTTGCAGATGACTGTGAGCACTCTTTTTTAGAGGTCAGTTGCAGTGTGGAACTCTACTCTCCATTAGACCTGTGGATTGTTTTTCTGCAGGATTCATACAGACCACCTCCTGCTCCTCCCCTCTGATCCTCCCTAGCCCCTCATTCCTTGGCTAGCCTTAGATCTAGGCCTTCACCCTGTTTATGTGCCTCCAGTGGGCAAGGAGCCTGTCTTTCTCCTGTCACTACCCTACCAAGACTCCTCCCATGTGTCAGGAGGTGAGCCTTTGCTCTCCCATTGCTTTCTCCATGTCAGTTAGCGGAAGCTCCCTCCTTTTGATTCTCAGACCAAAAACCATGGCGCTTGCTTTCTTGACTGCTCTCATTCTGTCACACATAAAATCTGTCAACAAATCCTATTAGCTTTAACTTCAAAATACATCCAGAGTTCAGCCACTTCTCGTTATTATCGCCACACGGCAGACACTATAATTTCTCTCTGGATTGTTGCGACAGTCTCCTGCTGAACCTGCCCATACCCCCTTTCCTTCCATAGCCCCTTCTCAATACTTTTAAAGGCAGATTGAGCCTTAAAAACAGACTTAGCTCATCCCTCTACCACTTACAACCCCCATGGCTCCATCCCATTCAAAGAAAAACCTGGAGGGACTGTCTTCTGACCCTCAGTCTCAATTTGAACCATGGCCCCTCACCCTTCCAATCACACTGGCTTATTTTGCGTGTCCTGGGACTTATCAAGCATTGTTCCTGTGCCTGGACACCAGTGGCTCACTCCTGTAATCCTAGCTACCCAGGAGGCAGAGATCAGAAAGATCAGGGTTCAAAGCCAGCCTGGGGAAACAGTTTGAGAGACTCTATCTTGAAAATACTCCTCACAAAAAAAGTTCTGGTGGAGTGGCCCAAGGTGTAGGCTCTGAGTTCAAGCCCCAGTACTGCAAAAAAAAGAAAAAAAGAGAAAAAGAATATTCCTGTCTAACAGCCTTTGCACTGTTCCTTCTGCTTTCCACCTTCTTCTCTTGCATTCCTCCAGGCTTCATTTAGTAAACCAAGGAATTTTCATCTATCTTTCCTTTGAATGGATTTTTTTTCCATGCAGGATTTTGTGACTGGCAATGTGGAAAATACAGGTTCTCTAAGCAATACAGATTTTCCAAATGTTAACATAGTTCATTATATGATTTAAAAATTACAGCTATTGATGTCCATCTCATCCGAAAAATCTTTTAAATATTGTGAAGCTACCAAACCTGTATCAGATATAAATTCTCCAGAATTCCAGTTTTTGCTTGAAAACTTGAATTGTTTTATTAGCATATATTAATTGAACAAGGGGGTTTCATTCTGATATTTCCATGCATATAATGTACTTTGATTAAATTCACCACCCCTCTATTACTTTTTCTTATCTCCTTTTTTTAAAAAAATAATTTTTAATGGGTATCATTATTCTGTTTTCATATGTGCATATGAAGTATTTGATCATGTTTTTTGTTTTGTTTTGTTTTGTTTCATTACTGGGGTTTGAACTCAGGGCCTACACCTTGAGCCACTCCAGCAGCACTTTTTTGTGATGGGTTTTTTCGAGTAGGGTCTAAGCTGGCCTTGAACGGTGATTGTCCTGATCTCTGCCTCCTGAGTAGCTAGATTACAGGCATAAGCCACCAGTACCTGCTTACTTTAATATTAACTCCCTTTTCTCCTTCTCCTTTCACCCTTCTCCCTCTCACTGGTTCCCCCCTCAAACAGTCTCCACTGTCCCCATTTTACACACTTGTCACTATTATCTTTTTTTTTTTTTAGGTCTAGATTCTGCATGAAATCTTGAATTCTGTCATTGCCAACATACACTATCAATTATTTTCCTTGAAGTAACATACTCTTCAGTCTCGTTCAAGAAAATATCTGCTAAATATCTAAGTCTAATAATCATAGTTTCTCATGGTTCTTTCAAGTAAAAAAGTAAAAGATATTTTAATGGAGAAAAGCTGTACTTCTGCTCACACTCAAACGATACAGAGGCCATAGTATTCTGAAAATAATTTGTCCTCACTGATCTTTGACAGGATCTCACTTCCCTCAGGGCTCCAAGGCTTTGAAAATCACTGTTTTAATCCAGCTCTTGGTTTTGTATTTGATGAGGTCTAAAACTGTAAGAGAGCAAGTGATTAACCCATGGCCATGCTCATAATGACAGAGCTAAAGTTGGAATCCAAGTGTTCAGACTCCTGAACCAGTAGTGTTCAGAACATCAACTCTATAAGGATTCACACCTGCCCCAACAATTTTTAAAATATATATTATAACAAAAATGTTCCAAGTCTGTTTTGTAACAAAATATGGAAAGGGTTTATAAAAGTTAAAACTATCCAAATGTCTGAGCTTTCCAGACTCTTGGAACAATTGCAGAGAGTTACAAGCAATGTTATCCAAAGTTGTCATAAAAACTATACTTTTCAAAACTGCATTCATATGAAATATGAAGGATTCATTCTGTTTGTTTGGTTTTCTTAACAGCTAATAAAAATAGGTTCCGATGTTGAACTGTTACTCAGAACATCTGTCATACAAGGTATTCACACAGACCACAATACACTGAGTAAGTAAAATTAAAGAAAAATGATTTCTGACTGCAATTGGTTGATTTTTCTTTTTTGTTTTGTTTTGTTTTTCTGGGCCATACTGGGGTTTGAACTAAGGGCCTTGTACTTGCTAGGCAGGCTCTACCACTTGAACCACGCCAGCCTTGCAGTGTTTCAAAGTATTGAACAATCAGCCACCTTTGTCGTTAATTTGTTGATTTTTAAAAGATGGGGGCCTCACTGTGTTCCTCAGACAGGCCTCCAAGTCCTGGGCTCAAGCAGTCCTCCTGCCTCAGCCTCCTTAGCTGCCAGGCCACTGTGCCTGACTCCTCATTATAGCACTTTTATTTATTTATTTATTTATTTATTTATTTATTTTGGCAGCACTGGGGTTAGAACCCAGGGCCTCATACTTGCTCGGCAGCTGTTCTACCACTTGAGTCACTCTGCCAGCCTCCCCCTACACACTTGGTTTTTTTTCTTATTACAGCACTTTTAATGTTGAGTAGTAAAACAGCTTGATTTTGCCAGGCAGTGTGGTGTATGTACTTGTAAAGCTGTAGTCTAAGAATGCTGAATGATGAAAGTATTATATCAGATTAAAAAAATTTTCTTGTATTAACTCATGGTTAGGATGCAAGGCTGCAGTTACAAAGTTTTTCTAGCATCACTTACCACTTAACCTGGACTTAGTCTGTTTCTTTTCCTTTTATTCTATAACTAGTTATCCTGGGATTATAGGAAGTGAAAATCTAGTGGCAAATCCTCCACTGTACCACCTCAGGACTGCTGGTGGGGCTTTAGCAGAATCTCATTCCAGAGTTTATTTTGTTTTAATTCCCTAGAGTACCTTTGCTGATAATATAACCATGACAGCAACAAAAGATAACATTCAAAATTGTAGAGAGACTTTCTTGTTAAGAAACTATCGAACCGTAACGCAAATACAGAAAAGTACACATTTTATAACTGTACAGCTCAGGGAATTTTCACAAAGCGAAGTACCTAACAACATCCACATCAGACTATGTAACATCAGCATCCCAAAGTCCACTCATGCCCTGGTGACCCATCCATTCACCTCCTTACATGGGTAATCTCTATCCTGACTTTCAACACTATTGATTTTGAACTTTATATAAAAAGGGCATAGTGACTCACTCCTATAATCCCAGCTACTTGGGAGATAGACATTGGGTGGATTTTAGTTTGAGGGTAGCCCAGACAAAAAGTTAGTGAGACCCCATCTCAACCAATTAACTAGGTGTGGTGTGTGCCTGTCATCCCAGCTACCTGGGAGGTGTAAATAGAATGACTGTGGTCCTGGCCAGCCCTAGCAAAAATGTGAGACTCTATCTGAAAAATAACTAAAGCAAAAAGGGCTGGGGACATGACTCAAGCAGTAGAGTACCTGCCTAGCAAGAGTGAGGCCCTGAGTTCAAATACCCCAGAACTGCCAAAAAACAAAAAAATAAAATAAAATTAAAAAGGGTCTGAAGGGCTAGGGATGCTGCTCAGTGCTAAAGGACTTGTCTAGCATGCTTGAGGCCTGGGTTCAATTCCCACTACCACAAAAAAGTAGGAGGGATGATTGAACTTTACCTAAATGGATTAATATAAGATTTCTGTCTTGTCTGGCTTCTTTCTCATAGCGTTATGTTCGTGAGATGCATTCGTGTCATTGTGTATAGGAACATTGTCTTGAGTATTATTTGAATAGATCACAATTTGTCTTCTACCATTTGGGTTATTATCAGTTTTAGACTATAGTAGATCCCTGGTATTTGTGGGTATATGGTTCTAAGGAGATAGCCACTGAGTTAAAACTCAATGCTTAGGATGCATGGAACTCGGAACTCAGTACTCTAACATTACTCAAATTTACCTATACTAAGCTGGGCACCAGTGGTTTATGCCTGTAATCCTAGCTACTCAGGAAGCAGAGATCAGGAGGATCGCAGTTCAAAGGCAAGGGAGACTCTATCTTGAAAACAGTCATCACACAAAAAGGGCTGGTGGAGTGGCTCAAGGTGTAGACCCTGACCCCAGTACCATTGGAAAAAAAAAAGCAAGTTAAAGATGCTCTGACCATAGATAGATATAGATAATTTTTTTTTTGCATCTGCTTTGCAAGTGCAAAGCCCTGAATTCAAAACCCTAGTCCCACCCCCTTACCCCAAGGAAAAAAAGTATACTAGGAAGCTGTTCTTTGGGTGTTTTTTAAATTATTATTTGATTTTATTTAGTTAGGGTTTTTTTTTTTTTGGGTGGAACTGGGATTTGAACTCAGGGCCTCATTCTTGTTAGACAGGTATTCTACCACTTCAGTCCTCAGGTGTGTTTGTTTTTAAACTTCTGCCTTTTGATTTATTTATATCTGTCATTGTCTAAAACTATCTTATGGTCTGTATCCTAAGACAACAAGTTAATGTAACTGAATTAACTTACTGAGTCTTGACTACACCAGGCACTAGAATTTCTGTAGAATACTAGGCCAGATAACTGGTCCCTGTCCTTATGGAAATAAGGATGCTGAGTGAAAGATTGACAGTTAAACCTCCCACAGTGCTTTGGTGCTATGATAGGAGAGGCAGAGGATGGCTGAGGCACAACAGTCAGGCATCAGGTCTAAAGAGTGAGCCAGAGGTGGGCCCTGGAAGAAAACACACACAAGCTTAAGTGCTCTGACTTCCACTTACCATTTATATTTTTGTGCTTATATGTTTAGCACCATTTCTGTAATATCAGAGTCAAATCCCTTACTGTCCCATATATAATTTCTATCCAAAATGTTTATAGGATTGCCACACTGTTATAAATACTATCATTAAATGGTTTTTACTCTTGGCCTAAATTTGGATTTTGGTCCATAATTGAGCTAAAAGCTGTTTTTTTCATAAAATTGCTTTTTAAATGAAACATTTAATATGAAGGCTTTTAAGGGGCCTAAATTCAGAAAGTGAGCCATAATCTCAGTGCAGTTCCCAGTGAAAGACTTGGCAATTTCAACAAAGTAATGGTACAGTACTTGGTATCTACTGTAATCAATAAAATTACAGAGAAAATTATCACATATTTATGTGAATATGTTTGAGGTACATTAGGCCTACTTAATGAATGTAGAAAAATGTAATGGTAGGATATCCTTTGATTCTGGAGATTACCTAAGATGCTGGAGCACAAGTGGTACAGCATGGAGTAGAGGGTACTTGACAGGCTTCCTGGTTATTTACCACCCTTCCTATGCCTCATCTACCTGAGTTTGAAATCCTCCCTCACTCTCATGAACCTGAGGGAGCCATTCTGTGGGCAGGGAAGTGCCCTTGGTGGCAGAACTGGGCCTCACAGGTTCATGACACTGGTGTGACGGCAGGGGAGCCTCAGTATCTTCAGTATAGACAGGCATCATGTGCTTGAAGAGGATAAAAATGGTGCCATCTCTTTTAGTACCCCTCATGGGAGCAGCAGGTGTTTATCATTAGGCCAGCCCTGGAGTGTGGCTTTGGCCATTGTTCTGGAAGCTTCCTCTCAAGCTTTGCCCCTCAAAGTAATCCTTTGAGTTAGACGTTAACCTGCCTAGTGAGCCTGAGTCCTCTCTGAAACTCACAACTCACACCAGCAGAAGTCATTATGAGAAGTCAGGTTCTAAAGCTTATGCAATGCATTGGTGAAATTGCTGAATGGAAGGCAAGGCTAGAGGGCTGTGTGATTGTCACGACCTGACATTATAGGCTTCAAGGTGGTGACCCAGCCTTTCATCAGGTGAAAGGCCAGTGGCTGGCGATTTCTTGAAACCCAGACCAAGAACTCCCCGAGGCTGCAGCAGTGAGAGAAAGTAGAATACATGCTGGCCATTCCTCCTGCTTGCCACAAGGTGCTGCAAAAGAGCCAGCTTGTGTGCACATCAGAGCTGGATGCAGTGCAGCTTTGCTAAGGGGCACTCTTCTGTCTGTGGCCTGAAGGTTAATTGACTGAAAGTCCCATAACTTAGAGCCTGGCAGAACTGAAAATGCCAACTGGTCCTATCCACTAAAACACAACCAAGGGGCTTCTGAACTATAGTGAACTAAGATCAGTGCCCCCAAGGTTTATTCTGCTAGGCAGAGGTTAGACATATGAAGCATTTGCTCACTGGATCTTACTGTTTTTCATTACTTTAAGAAGTGGCTGTAAGGCTGAAGATGTGACTCAAGTGGTAGAGTGCTTGCCTGGCAAGCACACAAGGCCCTGAGTTCAAGCCCCAGTACAAACACACAAACAAAAAAAGTGACCTCAAGGTAACAGTTACCAAAATGGGCAACACTACAGGATGATAGTGTTCATGCTTCAAAACTAGGTCAAGCTGTTTGCTCTTGGAAATGACTGGAAACAGAATTGAGATATACAATGTTTTTGAATAGATTGTATTGTCAAGAAATACCAAGCCTGCTTAGCCTTCAACTCTCAAGACCATCCCTGGATTCCTGAACTGGCGTGTCAAGGGGAAGTGGACTTTGAAAGCTTTCATGGCCGCAAAGGAGCATCTTCCCCAGTGTTTCAGCCTCAAGGCAGGAAAGATGATGTAGAGACCAGAGCCTGGCAGGACAGTGCACTGGAGCAGGTTCTCGTGTTTCCCAAAAGATAGAATTAGGTGCTGCCGGATTGGCTGGCCTGAGGGGTTATCCTTTGCTCTTCCTGCCTGGCAGGGCTTAGGACATTCTGTGACCAGTGACTGCTGTGTTGCAAGCCCTCCACCACTGAGCTACATCCCCAGCCCACTACTGGCATTTTGGATATGACAGTTCTTCACTGTTCCCGACTGTCTCACACATTACAGATTTAGTACCCCTTGGCTCCTGCACACTAAATTGCAGTGGCATTCTCCAGTCAGCACGTCAGCTTGAAACTCCCTTCTTAAGAACCGTTCTTCTAAGGGCTGGTGGTGTAGCTCAGTGGTGTAATGCATGTTCATCCTTTGTGAAGCCCTAGGTCCAGTCCCCAGCACCAAAAGGAAAGAACCATTGTATAAATTTGGAATCTAAATTAGGAGATTACTCTTGCCTTTCTATAGTAGGTAGTCAAAACAGATTTTCCAGCTGATACCTGTAATTGATAATCAAATCAGTGTTTTAGCTGGATTCTGTTCAGTTATTTAATTAGTTATGTTTAATAAATGATAACGGATTAAGTTACTCATATATATGTATATATGTTTTTAATACATGTATGTATGTATACATACATACATACATTTTTTTTTTTTTGGGGGTACTGGGGTTTGAACTCAGAGTCTCATACTTGTTGGGAAGGCACTTTACCACTTGAGCCACTCCATCAACCCTTTCTTGTGATGGGTATTTTTGAGGTAGGGTTTCCTGAACTGTTTGCCCAGGCTGGCTTTGAACTGTGATCCTCCTGAACTCTGCCTCTTGAGTAGCTAGGAATATAGGCGTGAGCAACTGGTACCAACTCCTATATGTTTTATATAATCCAAAATAAGAATCCTTTTACATGTGTCCATTTAGAATCATGTACTCCACCTTAGATGTCAACTGAAATAAAATATATCTGAAAGATTTACCTTAAAGTGATACCTTATAATTAGAAATTTTAGGGGGAAATGAGTATACTTGCATTTTCTTCTAATTCAATGATTAAATAACTAATTCTAATGTTAATCATTTTAATTATTCTCTCTTTTTCTTTTTCTTCTAGAATTGATCCCTAGGAAAGATCTTCTTCTAGAAAATGTTCCCTACTGTGATACACCAACTCAGAAGCAATGAGTTTTCTAGAATAAGACAAGTCTTTGTATGTCTTAACTTTATAATTCTGGCAAAAGTCTCCTAGGGATGCAGATAGTCTTCTCTGAGCTTCCATATTGAAAAATGAATGGACTAGCTTCATAATTAAATTTCACATTAAAAGGACATTGCTGAGAACTACAGAATATAGTCAAGCATTTTTAAAGGACACTGGATAAATATTCATTTTTTTGTTGAAAATCAGACTCTGTAGTGAAGTAAGTGTGTAGGGAGGTCTAATAGCATTTTCAGTTCTCTTCACATTGGGAAATCTTTTGATGTCGCCGTGGCTATTTGAGAAGGAAGCATTGTAACAGGCTGGGTAGTTTTCCTCCCATGGGAAATGCAGTCGTTACATATGAATTATTAGATTGAATTGATGTTCACACCCCAAAATATTAAATTTATCAAAAGATAACAGTCTGTGCTGCTCTTTGCAGAAGGTGGCCTGTGTTTCCCAAAGCACTGTAATTATTTCTTTAGCTAACAGATAATAATATAGCTTCTTTTTAGAGATAGAATGTTTCTCTGTGTTCTAATAAGGACATTTTTAATCAGTGTTCTGAAGACAGATGAACAAAATATCAAAATCACAGTCACTACAGAATAGAAATCCTTGAGAATGATGGTTATCTAGGCAAACTTCTCTCTTGCAATGTCAACATTTAACTCTATCTTCTTTTTTTCATTAAAAGCAACTCCCACAGGAGTTGTCCAAATCTAATATTTCACTTTGACTGTTGAACTCTAGGAAATAATGGGGTATGTGAACTCTAATTGAGTTATCCAGGTCGAGGCCCAGCAGGACTCCAGAAAGCAGTCTTTGGCAGAAGTCAGAAGCGGCTCATGGCAGGAGAGTTGGACTTGGCAAGCACGTGCAGGGCAGGACACATCACTGGAGATTTGAGGTTAGCGGACGTGGCACGGAGTTTGCCTAACACCTAATTCAGAATATTTGAGTCAGATTTTGTTTAAAATGGTTCTGATTTTGCCAACAATTACATCTCTTAACAAAAAGTACCAGTAGTAAGGATAGGTACAATTTCTGTACTCACAAGACAAATCATTTAACTGTAAACTGCATGACATAAAGATCGACAAATGGAAATTCTGATTTTTTTTTTTGTGTGGGACTGGGGTTTGAACTCACGGCTTCATGCTTACAAAGCAGGTGCTTTACCACCTGAACCACACCTCCAGTCCATTTTGTCTGGTTATGTTGGAAATGGGAGTCTTGAGAGCTGTTTTCCTGGGCTGGCCTCGAACTGAGATCCTCAGCCTCCCAAGTAGCTAGGATTACAGGCTTAAGCCACCAGTGCCCGGCCTGAAAATTCCAACTCATTAGCTGAGTTCTCTAAAGTAAACATGGGTAGATAGCTGGGCCTGATGGTGCATGCCTATAATTTTAGTAATGAGAAGGCTGAGGCTGGAGAATCATGAAATTTGAAGCCAGTCTGAGCTACATAGCAACATAGCAAGAGCAAGACCCTGTCTAAAAAAAAAAAAAAGCCCAGGTTTTCCAAATTTGGAGCAATAATGAAAGAAAAGGTGGTTCATCCTAATTCTGGAATACTATGCTATGTAGGAGTTGAAAGGAATGAAATATCTGTACACATGCACACAGGGCAAAGCAAGCCAGTACCTGTTCACTGTGAGTCCACTTACGAAAGAACATTTTTGTACACATGCATATATCTGTGCAAATACATAGAATTGATTGGTGCTAAATGTTAGTAGTTAACCAGGGAGGAAAATGAGATGTGGGGAAGGAAGTGGCAAACTGAGAACTTTTATTCTGTTTACTCCATATTTAATGTATTTATAGTGAGTATATCAGCATGTAATTTTATTATGTATTTATTTTTGGCAGTACTGGGGTTTGAACTCAGGGCCTTGTGCTTGATAGGCAAGCAGCTCTACCACTTAAGCCACATTCTAGCCCTTTTTGCTTTTTTTATTTTTCAACTAGGGTCTTGCTTTTTCCTATACTGCGATCTTCAGACTGTGTTCCTCCTACCATCACTTCTTTCACAGCTGGATTACAGACATGCACCACCACACCCACCTTGTTCTTTAAGATAGGATCTTGCTGACTTTTGCCCTGACTGGTCTCAAACTGCAGTCTTCCTGTCTCTACCTCCTGAGTAGTTGGGATTGCAGATATGAGCCACTGCACTCAGCCCTCAACATCTAATTTTAAATCATCATACCTAAGCTATTAGTGATTTTTAATTTAAAATTAATTTTTGGACTGGGGATGTAGCTCAGTAGCTTGCTTGCCTAGCATGTGTGAGGCTCTGGGTTCAATCCCCAACATTCCAAAAAAATTAATTATCACATACTAGTAAATAATATTAGACACTCCATGAACCTAATTTCCACACTTGACAGGTGTTAAATTTTGCCAAATTTATTTAATGATCATTTTAATAAGTAGTAAAATCTTAAAGAAAAAGTCTCCCACCTTCTTATTCTCCTCTCCAGGGATAACTACTCAGTTTTATAATTTGTTCCTATCATTCCCATACTTGTTTTTATGTTTTCATCAACTGTGTATGTAGTCAAAGCAGTATGTGCTTTTTGAATGTGAATGAGTGGTATTGTGTTCTATGTGTTCTGCAACTTACTTTTTATTATACATTAGGTTTTTGAGATTTATTGGTATTGTTGCATGAATATTGAAGTCTCGCTTTTACATTTTATTTCATTGTAAGAATAAACTAGTTTCTTTATTCAGGTCTCTGTTGATGAATGATAATATCACTTTTGCTTTTTTCACATTGCAAACTAATTTGCACAAAACCCAGCACATGGATTCTTACACCCACATAAAAATCTTTCTATCTGAACATGTACCAGGAAGCAGAGCTGTTGGGCCATAGGGTATGTGTGTGTTCAGCCTTTCCAGAAATGTTTAAATTGCTCTTTGAAGTGTTTGTACTGGTTTATAGGGTGTGAGTCATTGTCACTGTTGCATAGGACTTTTCTTGGCTTTGTCAAACTGATGGATGTAAAATGGTGCATTGTTTTAATTTGCTTTTCTTGATGACTAACGAGGCAGACCATGTGTGATCATCTGTGTTGTTGGCCTTTCTGATTTTCCATCACAAATGCATATTCATATCCTTTGCCTTCTTTCTTTATTGGGTTGTCAGGCTCCTTCTCACCAATCTTTCAGATTTTCTACATACTAATCCTCTGCTGGTTATCAGTGATGCTAACAACTTCTGATACATTATTTGTCTTTTAACCCTATGAGAAACTCAGTGGACTAAGGGGTGTACATATAGCTGGTAAAATGTAACTTCCAGTGTGTCTGTGACCCTGTTTCTGGAAGAGGTGGACTGAGTAAAGAATATCACTCCCATCAGTGTGGACGGCCATCATACAATCTATTGAAGGCTGGAAGAGAACAAAAAGATGAGGACGAGGGAACTCGGTGTCTGTGACCTCTGCTGCCCCAGCTTCTTGGGCATCTAGACGCACACTGGGACTCACACTGTTAGTCCCTCGTTCTCTGGGCTTGCACTATCAGCTTTCCTAGTTCTTTTGGCTTTTTTTTTACATCTCATTATTAACATTGTTGTTGTGCTGGGGTACAGTGTAAGACTTACAGAAGTTCTTACAATATATTGTAGTTGAATTCACCCCCTCCATCATTCCTTATTCCCTTCTCCCCCACCCCTATGATAGTATCAACAGGTCTCATTTTTCCATTTTCACACGTAAGTACATAATATTTCTGCCATTTTCACCCTTGGTTCTTCAGCTTGTAGCTAGGAGATTGTGGGGCCTTTGGCTTCTGTAACTATGTGATCCCGATTCCTATGTCAAATCTCCTCTTGTTCCTATGTGCTCCACAGGTACATAATCCTAGAGAATATCTTAGTAGTTGTTTCTCTGAAGAGCCTTGACTAATACAATGTTGAAAAATGAATAAATTTGTGAAGAATGATTAGGAGTTTCATTTTGGATAAGATATCCAGGTGGAAGTAACATTGGCTATGTTTGTTTTGAGAAAGGATTTTGCTGTGTAACTCTAGGCTTTATCAAGACTAAAAACCATTTGTTGCCGGGCTCCAGTAGCTCATGTCTGTAATCCTAGCTACTTAAGAGGCAAGAGACCAAGAGGATCGAGTTTTGAGGTCAGCCCAGGCAAATAGTTCTCAAGACCATATCTCAAAAGCCCTATCACACACACAAAAAAAGGGCTGGTGGAGTGGTTCAAGGTGAAGGCCCTGAGTTCAAACCCCAGTACTGACAAAAAAAAAAAAAATAAATAAATAAAATAAATTTGTTCCAAAAAAGTAACTTTTAAGAGAATGAAAAGACAAGTTGAGCTAGCAGAGTGGCTTAAGTGGTAGAGTGCTGCCTAGTAAGCGTGAGGCTTTGAGTTCAAGCCCCAGTACTGCCAAAAAGAAAAGCTATACAAATGGAAAATAAGCATGTGAAAAGTTGCTGAACTCAGTCACTGGAAACTAAAGTCAGAGTGAGATCTAGTACACATCTGTTACAATGGCCAAAAGTGGCATGACTAAACACACCAATACTGAGGATGTGGAGAAACAGATTTTCAGAGGTTGCTGGTAGAAATGTAGAACTGCAGAACAAATGTGGAAAACTGTCCATCAGTTGCTTAAAAGTTAAGCATATACTCACATATAACCCAGACTTTGCTGGGTAGTTACCTAAGAAAAAATATGATCAGTGGTTGGCCAAGGGGAGAAGGGATAGGGACAGGAGGGAGGAGGTGTTAAAAATGGGCATGATGGGCTTGTGGAAGGTGATGGAGACTATTTTCATGTATTTGTTAATCAAAACATTCCACCTCCATTAATCTTTTTTTTTTTTTTCACTCCTCAAGCCCTTTTTTGTGAGGGTTTTTTCTGAGATAGGATCTTACACAGCTTATTAGAATGTGGTGTGTAAAATATAATAAATATGCAGTACAATGTGTTTCAGCCCCTTAAATAACTAGGTATAAAATAACACTTAGCACCATAAACTGGATGAGAAAACCAAGATTTTGGTGGTGAAGGAGTACTTGGGAGACCTTAGGCTTCTGTCACAAACTATGTAGTTTTCCCCCTTTCCCCCCTCAATCTTTTACTCTGGCAATGAAAACGTGAAAAGGCTACTGGAAATGTGATTCCCAGAGAGACTCAGAGATTTGCATGGGGGAAGTTTAAGTTAGGAGTGCTCTCAGGAAGTGAGGGAAGCAACAGGAAGTGAAGGAAGTTACAGGAAGTGAGGGGACCAAAACTGGCCAGAGGGAGCAGCTGAACTATAATGCAGCTGCAAAGGGGGCTGGAGCTGAAATGGCCTTCAAGATTGTTCTGAATTGAGGCAAGGAGACTGGGCCTTTGTTCTCTGGCATTGAGGGCAGACTGACTGCCCAGGGAAGAGGCATCATCTCAGTGAGGCTGTTCTTATAAGTGAAAAACTGGAAAGGGCCACAGTTTGGG